TCTGGTATCACAGCGCACGGCTCACAGGATCGCGCTGTCTCCTGGCGCGGCCGCTCAGACCCGACGCCATCTTAGAATCATCTGAAAAGAGCTCGCAGCGCGCAGCCGGCTTTGTGTTTTCCCTCCTTCTCCGCAGCCGCCCGGGCTGCAGCGGCCGCCTGATCCGCCGTCGCCGCCTCTTTGTTATTGCTTTTTCTAGTTTAGTTCCATCATGATCACAGAGCATACTTTGCATGGCTTGAATTTTTTATATTTACTGAGATTTATTTTATGATCTAGAATATGTTCTATCTTGATAATTATTTCATGTATACCTCAAAAGATTATATATTCCTGTGTTGTTGGGTTGAGTGTTCAATAAATGTCAATGAGGTCAAATGGGTTGATAATGTTGTTCAAGTCTTCTTTATCCTCATTGATTTTATGTCTTTTTAGTCTACCAGTTATTAAAAGAAAGAAGTACATTGAAATCTTTGACCATAGTCGTGAAATTGTCTGTTTTTCCTTGGAATTCTCTCAGTTTTTGTTTCATGTAATTTGAATCTGTATTATTAGGTGCATAAATATTTAGCATTCTTATATTCTCTAGAAAATCTGACTCCTTTTTATTATGAAATGACTCTCTTTATTCTGGTAATATTTTTTGTTCTGAAGTGTGCCTTGTCTTTTATTAATATAGCCACTTCAGCCTTCTTTTAATTTGCCTTAGCCCAGTATATCTTTTTTTTAACATAAGTAACAGCTTTGAGATATAATCATTTACTGTACAACTCACCTGTTTAAGGTGTACAATTCAATGGTTTTCAGTATATGCACTGAGTTCAAGTTTGGGTAATATTTTCATTACCCTAAAAAAGAAACCTGTACCCATTTGTATTCACTCCCTGTTCCATCTCCATAACCCCAGCCCCAGGCAACTACTAATCTGCTTTCTGTCATTATAGATTTGTCTATTCTGGGCATTTCATATAAATGGAATCATGCAATATGTATTTCTTTGTAACTGGCTTCTTTCATTTAACATGTTTTTAAGGGTCATCCATGTATCAGTATAACACATTCCTTTTTATGGCCAAATAATATTCCATTGTGTAGATATACCACATTTTGTTTATCCATTCCTCAGTTGATAGTAATTTCAATGGTTTCCACCTTTTGTCTCCTACAAATAATGCTGCTATGAACATTCATCCATACAAGTTTTTGTGTGGACATATTTTCATTTCTCTTGGAATGTACCTAGGAGTGGGATCCTGGGTTAAATGGTAACTCTATGTTTAACCTTTTGAGTAACTGCCAGATTCTAGCAGTTGTGTCATTTTACATGCTCCCCAGCAATGTATGAGGGTTCCAATTTCTCCACATTCTCTCCAGCAGTAGTTATTATCTTTTTTTATTTTAGCCATCCTACTGGGCCTGAAGTGATATCTCGTGGTTTTGATTTGGACTTCTCCGACATCTAATTTTGTTGAACATCTTTCCATGTGCAGATTGATCATTCATATATCTTCCTTGGAGAAATGTCTGCTCACATCCTTAGTCCAATTTTTTAAATTGTTTTGTCTTTTTATTATTGAGTTGTAAGAATTTTTTATATATTCTAGATACAAGTCTTTTATCAAGATATATGATTTGCAAAAGTTTTCTCCCGTTCTGTTTTTTGTCTTTTTGCTTTCTTCATGGCTGATTTATCTTTTATCATTACTTTCATTTTTTACCTATTTATGTCTTTATATTTAAGATGAATTTTTTTGTAGGCAGCATATAGTTGAGTATTCATTTTTTTTTATTTTTATTTTTTTCCTTTTTGTCTTTTTTACTGACCAGTAACGGGATCGCAACCTTCGGTGTCACACCCGTACCGGGGACCGGCAATGGGATCGCAACCCTCGGTGTTGCGCCCGCACCGCACTCAGCCAGTGAGCAGGAACCGGTCTCCACATGGGATCCGAACCCTCAGCGGGAGTGCCGCCACGCTCCCAAGCGGCGCACTCTCCAGTGCGCCACCGGGCCGGCCCGAGTATTCATTTTTTAATCCAGTTGACAATCTATACCTTTTAATTTGTGTTTAAACTCTTTGTATTTCATGTCAATATCGGTATGACTAAAGTCTACCATCTTATAGTTTGTTTTGTTTTTTGTTGTTGTTTTTTCCTGTTTCTGCTTTCATTTGAATTAGTTGAGTATTTTTTTGTGATTCCATTTTATCTTTTTTTGTTGAGTTATTAACTATAAATCTTGTTATTTTAGTAGATGCATTAGGGTTTATAGGATCTTTAACTTATCCCAGTCTGTCTTCAAATGACATTATTCTACTTAACATATAGTTACAGATTCTTACTAAAGTATATTTCTGTTTCTCCTCTTCTGGCCTTGGTGCTGTTTTTATCACACATTTTCTATCTGCTTATGTTATTAACACCACACTATGTTGATTTTTGTTTGCTTAAACAGTCAATTTAAAGAAATTTAAATAATAAGAAAAAATCATTTATATTTGCTTACGTAGTTGACATTTTCAGTGCTCTTCATTTCTTTGTGTAAATCCTGATTCTCAACTGGTGTCATTGTCCATCACTTGATGGGCTTCCTTTAACATTTCTTTTAGTGACATAAAGGAAAATTTTGACATAAATGACTACATAAATATTATAAACCTTTTAGCGAAGGACACCATAAACAAATTTTTTTTTTGACCCGTAAGGGGATCGCAACACTCGGCACGGTGTGGTCCACACCACGCTCAGCCAGCGAGTGCACCAGCCATCCCTATATAGGATCCGAACCTGCGGCCTTAGCGCTACCAGGGCCGCACTCTCCCAAGTGAGCCACAGGACCAGCCCGTAAACAAAATTTGAACAACTAAAAAGCTGAGAAGAAATGTTTGCAGTGTATCAGAGTAATAATAACAGCAATTCAAAATAATAGTAATAGCATAATAATAATAGCAATTTATAATAGTAATGGTAACAGCAGAAATTGAGTGCGTACTTTGCTGTATACCAGCTACTATACTAAACACTATCATGAGTTTCCTCATTTAATCCTTACAATAGCCATTTGAGGTATGTACTATTATTACTCCCACTTTACAAATAAGGGTATGGGAATAACAGGGAAGGGACTAATGTCTCTTGTTGGAGTGAGTTACTGTGAACTCGCAGGGAGAGATAGGAGACACTGAGGCTTAAAACAGGAAAACAGGGTTTATTGATGTGCTGGCATTTTCTCAGTGGACTCAAGTCCAAAGGCTGAGCACCCCAACACAGTGGGGCAGTTATTTTTATATTATAGCATTTCTGGGTTTCTGTAACCGAGCAGGAGCAATGATCTTATGATCTTTTGTAGTTATGACTTTGTCACAGTGGAAAAGTACAGCGGCTGAGAGAAAAGCAGGCTGAAAAATTCTGTTTTAGCAGCCTATGGTAACCACAGGGTGAAACCAAGGGGGCGTGCTGCTGCAGCAGGGTGTTAGCAAGTCTGTGATAACCACACGGTGAGAGAAGGCGGGGCTGCATGACATCTGGGTGGGGTCTTGGCTACAGCATGGATGTTTAGTGGCCACAGCCAGGTGGGACATAGCCGGGTAAGTGTGAGTGCCTCATCTCTAACAATCAGAGATAGAAAAATTAATAAGAAAGAAATTTTAGGTGGCAATTTTCAAAAGAAACATGAATAGCTGATGAACATAAGAGTAATACTCAGCTTCTCTCATAATCAAGAGAACACTCATTTTTAAGCTATTCAGCTGGCAAAAGTAAGAATCAATGCTACTAATACCCTATTGGATGTATAAATTCATACATTTTTATAGGGCCATTTAGCTTTACCTGTTGATATTTAAAATATGCATACCTTTGAACACATGACTACCATCCAGAAATCCTTGTACAAGTACCCAAGGAAAAATATCTTATCTGTGTGTATATGTGTAATGGAGAACACTTGGCAACAACCTGACCATCGATAGCAGAGTATTAAAATGAGTGATGACTTATCTATATTATGGAGTAGGCATTGAAAAGAATGAGACTGTGGGGAAACAGACAATCTGATTGGCTACTGGTGGGAGATATAATTTGGTACAACTACTCTGGGTGGAATTTTCAAAATAGGTATCAAAAATTCTCAATCAGACTGTATCCCTTTCCCACATGTGTGTGCTATATTATTTAGTGGAAATAAAATATTTGCTGAAAAATATGAGTTTGTATAGCAAAACCCATTTGGGTTTGTTTGTGTTTTTTAAGGATATATGTACTTACATATTTGTATGTGCCTGGAAAAAGGTTTAGAAAGATGCACACTAAATTATTAAAAAATAGTTACCCCTGGAAAGGAAGGATTTTTAACTTTTAAAAGTCTCTGTTACTTGAATTTAACAAAAACTTCTGTAATTGTTTTGAAAATACAGTTTTTAAAAAGATACATTAGTTGTAATTGCAAAGAACACATAGACAAACTGACTTAAAAGAAGCAAGACTGTCCCCAAGGGTTTCCAGACTAAATGGATCAAGGTTCTTTCCTCCTGGGCTTAAATCAAATTTTATTTTTAAAGGTAAGGTGCTAGGCTTTACCTGTAGAGCTCAATAGAATTTAAAAGAACTGAACTTTTATAGATCCCAAGTTCCACAGTACAAGACCAAGGTAGTTAGTGAGCTCTAAGACATTTATAATCTTTACAAACTCATATCAAAAATTAAGAATAACATTTTAAATTGCACAACAACAGTAAGGGTTCTTATTGTAGGTGGTGGTTGTATGTTTGAAATTTTGACCAGGGTTATAATAAATCCATGCAGTGTCTTTGAAAAGGGAAGCAAGGGTACATACACGCTCACTCAAAAGGTTTACCATTGATACATTGATTATAAAATACTTTAGAAAGTCTGCTTTTTATCATAGGTTCTCATGTTTTAATATAATCTCCTAGTAACAAAATAGGGTGTGCTGCGTCTCCATGAAATATCTCGAAAACTGTTTAGCTAAAAAGGTAGAATGGATAAGTTACCTGAAAAAAATATTACAGATAAGAATTTTTAAACCAGTTATTAGACAGGGAGACAAAGAAGAAATAATTTATTCTTTCTAGTGAAAGAATACTGTTCTATGTTAGGTATTGAGCAAAGTTACCTTAAAGTTTTCCAAGTAGGGCCGGCCCGGTGGCACACTAGGTAGAGCGCGGCGCTTGGGAGTGCGGCGGCGCTCCCGCCGAGGGTTTGGATCCCATATAGAGACCGGTCCGCTCACTGGTTGAGCGCGGTGTGGGCGCAACACCAAGGGTTGCGATCCCGTTGCCGGTCGCGGTATGGGCGCGACACTGAGGGTTGTGATCCCGTTACCGGTCACGAAAAAAGACAAAAAGGAAAAAAAAAAAAAGAGTTTTCCAAGTAAATGTTATAGTCTGAGAGATTTTTTTCTTTGCTAAATAATTGTTCTGGTAAACTATTTATATTGTAATTTTTTATCCAGAAGGATAATTTGAAGCCAATCATATATTTAGTATACATCACACAAGCTGAATATTTTGTACATAGGTTTCCAGTCTGTGTTAAAGATTTTGAAATTTTCCTTTGTTGTACCTGAGGCTTTTTTTTTCTTTTCTAAATCACTCAGACCTAAAGTAACATTTTTATATGAAAAAAGGAAATCTGTTTTTATAGATTTATTTAAAATAATTAGAGAAAAATTGAGCAGCAGTAAAGTTTAAGCCTTTAGTCTCTCATTTTCTACGTGCACGGAGGGAAATGAAGTGGTGAACACACACATATATATATATTAGGAAAATGCATATAAATAGGAGACATTACATAAAGTCACATTTTACAAAAGTTACTTCTATATCTAAAGAAAATATTTTTACATGGCATTGTGTTGCACTACATAATAAGAATGATGATGATATAAGCACTTTCACTGAGTACTAACTGGCTGCCAGGAATCATTCTAAGTACTTTCCATTCAGTATCTCATTTCATCTTCACAACAATTTTATGCTATAAGCCCTCTTATTACTCAGTTTATAAATGAGAATCTGAGTCTTAGAGAAGTTAAATAACTTGCTCAAGGTCACATAGCTGCTAAATGACAGGGCCAGGATTTGAATCCATGTAATCTGGTTCCAGAATCTAAACTTATAACGACTTTGCCTATAGAGTGGGATTCAAGAAGGAGGTCTCCTTGGATATGCAAAGTATGATGCTTCTATTATTTGAGAGGTGCTCAGCAATATCTACCCTACTGCCTGTTAGGACAGCTGAAATTCCATCATTGGAGATTCACTGCTTTGGGTTTACAAGACTTGGGGATATCAGGGGTCTTCAGTTAAAATGCAGTTATTCATTGAGGAATAATAAACATCTAAATGGACGATGACAGTGACCAACAACTCAGTAATGGAACAGAGGGTCACAATGACTGTGGAGTAGCAAAGAAGGAAGGGGGGCTGGAATCTCCTTTGATTCTAGGAAATAGAGCACAGCTGATGCTGCACAGCATCGACATGTTATGTTAACAAGATGCCTTTCCTTTGTTGTACAGCAATCAGCAGGCCTTTTTACTGGAGAATGTCCCCTGTAATAATGCAAGCTGTGAGGAGGCACATCGTATGTTTAAAGTCTACTGGGAGCTGTCGGACCTAAATCAAATCAGGGATGCTATGGTTGCCACCTTCTTTGACATTTACGAAGATGTGAGTTCAGAGCTATCCTGTGTGTTTGGAGTTTAATTGCCATCCACCTTGTCTCACTTTAGCTTTACCCTATTTGAACAGAAAATGTAGATGATATAATGAAAGCCAATGAGTTAATTACAAGAAAGCCCCTTTTAATGTTAAATGGTAGTGGAAACAAATTTATTGACACTGGCTGATCACTACAGTCAAATATGAGAATGTTCTTATCTAATTTTGTGCTTATTTGGATTAAACCACTAAAGAATCGTGCTCTGAGACTGGCTAATCTGTATGCTCAGCAGTAGACAAAAGCACAGCTGACAGATAACAGACCCTTGAAACTGCGCAAGATCACAGAAGAATGAACCCAGTACTATATTCACTTTTGTCAACTGGAAGTAGCATCTATTGCCACAAATTCTTATGACTCTGACTTTGGTTTCCAGGTGACCTTGTGAAAGACATTTAGAGTTCTGGTTTCTCCCTTTCTAAAGGGAAAAGCCAGTTTACCACTCAAAAAAAAATAATAAATTCTGGAAGAAAAAACTGTGTTAAATTCCAGTGTTAATGTATCACAATATATCTTTTCAAGATTATTTATTTTAAAAAATTAAATGCCCATCAGGACATTTATATCTTCATTAGCCTCATTTTGGGTTTTTTGTTTTGTTTTGTTTTGTTTTTATGAGAGGCTTATTCTCAAATGATGAATTATTTAAGTCCTTATTTTCCTCTGTTCCTGCCTGCTATCAAATCTTGTATTATTTCACTTTTCATTAGCAGTTTCCAAGTATAAAAGTAATTGGCAGAAATAGCACAAGGAGAAAAAAATCCAGAGAATTGACTACGAATCAATTTTTAATTTCTGTACCTCAGAAACATCATGAATGAAATTTCAAATTGTTTTTAAATCTGGGAAATAAATTTGCTGCAAAAGAGTCAAATAGTTAATATCCTTAATATAAAAGGATTTATACAAAGTGATATAAGTCACCACAAACTGGAAAAACACAACATAGTCAATTTACAGAAAAAGCCCAAGTTGCTAACATGAAAAAATATAATAAATGATCAGCCTCATGAAAAGAGTCAGAGGAATGTCAGTTTAAACAAGCACACCTTTTTTCTTCAGTAAAATTCAGTTAAAAAAAAAAAAAGCTTCCCCCTTTTTTATTTATTAATTTATTTTTTGGTAGCTGGCTGGTACAGTGTACCAGGTTCTGAACTTATGACCTTGGTATTATAAGGCTGCACTCTAACCAACTGAGCTAACTGGTCACCCATTTCCCCTTTTTTAGTAAAAAAATAGTACTATGCAGTGGTGGCAAGGACATATAAAAAGGTCATCTTCCTGATGTTTAGGAAGGATCTGACAGTCCATATCAGGGACCTTTAAAACTTCGTGCAAATATGACTGGAAGGAAATATACCGAAATGCTAACAGTTATCTCCAGGGACTAAAATTACAGATATTTTTCATTTTATTTATATTTTACTATTTAAAGTTGTGTGTATATATATATTTTTAATAGTAATTTTATTTTAAACATTAGGTCAAATAAGGTTTACATTTACATAATAAACATGCCATGCATTTTAATGGTCTTTTTTTTCAGTTGGTCTAGTAGTTTTTCTTACCATTTTTGTTTGTTTTTTCCAGGGAATCTTGGACATTGTGGTACTAAGTAAAGGATATACAAAGAATGATTTTGCCATCCATACACTAAAAAACAACTTTGAAGCAGATGCTTATTTTGTTAAAGTCATTGGTGAGTATTTTTAAGTATTAGAATTTACTTTTATTCTCTCTTTCTCTCTATCTCTGTCTCTCAATGTACATGTTCCGAAGAGCAAGGACACGCTCCTATGTAATCCACGTGCAACCCTCCAATTCAGGAAATCAACTTCAGTATGATACCTTTCTCTCTATACATAGACCTTGGTCAAATTTCACCAGCTTTCCCAACAATGACTCTTTTTTCTTTCTAGTTCAGGATTCTGTCCAGAAACATCTATTGCATTTATCACATCTTTTCAGACTTCTTCAGTCTGGAATAGTTCCTCTTTTCCTATTTTTCATGTCCTTATCAGTTTTAAAACATACAGGCTTTACATTCTGTAAGATAACCCTGTTTCCTCAGGTCATGAATTCTTTGTAGAAACTTCACTACAAGAAATTGCAGAATTGATGCCATGTGCTTGTCAGTGTGTCATCAGGAAGCACATGCCATTGACCTGTCCCATCACCATGATGTTAATCTTGCTCACCTGGTCATGATGAGCACCAGGTTTCTCCACCTTAAATTCACTGTTTTCCCCTTTGCATTGATTAGTATTTTGTGGGGAGGTAGTCTGATAATTGATTTAATATCCTTTTCCTGGGCTGGCCTGGTGGCGCACTGGAGAGTGCGCCACTTATGAGTGTGGCGGCGCTCCCGCCGAGGGTTCGGATCCCATGTGGAAACCGGTTCCCGCTCACTGGCTGAGCGCGGTGCGGGCGCAACACCGAGGGTTGCGATCCCGTTGCCGGTCCCCGGTACGGGCGCGACACCGAGGGTTGCGATCTCGTTACCGGTCAGTAAAAAAGACAAAAAGGAAAAAAATAATAAAATAAAATAATAATATCCTTTTCCTTACCAAATTTCTACCTAATAGCCTTAGAGTCTATTGACAACTCCTGCCTGAATCAACTTCTGTATTTGTTAAATAATGATTCTCTATTTTCATCATTTCTTACACTTATAAGTTGGCTTTCTACTGTTCATCTAGTACTTCCCTTTCCCCAAACCTGGAATCAGACATTTATTCAAGGAGCTCTGATTCCTTTTAGCAGATAATGGAATTTAAAAACCAAGTTCTGGGTACTTAGTATGCTCATTGCTATTGGGTTGTCATTTCTTCCAGGATCTTTCAGTGGGTAGAGGTAGGAAAATACAGGTATGGCTTCACATACTTACACACAGATATACACAGTTATAACTATTTTTACATCTGTTTATTTTTACACTATAAAACTGTTAATTTGTATCAATATTTACATTCCTAATCCAACACAGCATATCAGGGTTCTTTCCAGTCTTTTCTGTGTTTGTAGATATTATCCCTAGCAGTGAGAAATGTGGCTCCCATTCTCCTCTATATGCTACTTACGAGGGTACTTCAAAAAGTTCATGGAAAAGTAGAATTGAAAAATAACAAGAATCTTTCCATTCTTTTTGAAGTACTGTCATATTTGCTCACTGTAACCAATTCCCAGCCATGTCAGCTGTCTCATCCACTTGACACCCATGTTCATCATAAAGACCCAATACATATTTTGTTAAGGGTATACCTTAGTATTTTATTTTCTCTGGAATGATAATAATGTTATGGTGTTTTTAAGTTTGGTTTCCACGTTTTAGTATGTAGAAATGAAATTGATTTTTGTGTTGATCTTATATACTGCACCCTTGTTCAAATGATTTGTTAATTCTAGAAAGTTTTGTATAGATTCCTTGGGATTTTCTACATGGGCCACCATGTCATCTACAAAGGGACAGTTTTATTTCTTTCTTTCTTATCAACATGCCTTTTGTTTCCTTTTCTTGTGCTGGATAGAATTTCCATTACTATGTGGAATAAGAGTGGTGAGAGTAGACATCCTTGCCTTATTTCCAGTTTTAAGGGGAAAGCATTTCATCTTTCACCATTAAGTATGATATTAGCTATACACGTAAATTTTTTGGTAGATACTCTGTATCATATTAAAGAACTTCCCCTATTCCTAGTTTGCGCAGAGTTTTATCATGAACTAGTGTTGGAAGGTGACTGTGTATTACTATTATTAGAGTTGACATCAAGACAGCCTTATCAGTTTGTTTGTGAGTGAAACATTACATGTACTTTGTAAAAATATTTATCACTGTTTTGAAATGAACATAAATAGCAGAACACAGAAAAGCAATAGAATTATATGTGTTGAGAGATTTATTTTGAGAGATGAAATTGACAAAATGTGTAACCTTTCTTTCTAAACAGCAAATTCACTCTTATTTGGATAAACTAAGAGTAGCTCCCATCTTCATTATGGCTGCAGCCACAAAACACTGTTATATGAGTCTAACCATTTCTATACTTACCATTCATTTGACCATCTCCTTTCCTTTGCCATTTTCAAGAAGGTATTATTTGGCTATTTTAGAGGCGAAAAAAATAAAAATATAATGCTTATTTAGTATGCTATTAACTTCTGCGTTAGAAGTATATATTTTTTTCTCATTGGTTTTTCTTGAACTTTAAACCTTTAGGTAAGAAGATAGAAATCCTTAAAACTTTTGCTAACCCTAATTATATATATAATTAGAACAACCTGGTTCAGTTAATTAAAACAGAGGGCTGTTGGAAAAAGCATTGTCAACTCTTAGGGATAAATTACCAAATCCAGTACAGCCGTTTGACTAATGCAAACTTTGGTTCCCAAGGGGAGATTCAACAGAAGTCATATAATCTCTAGGATGAAAACATCTCAAAAAATCAGTCCTGTGACCTTGGATCACTAGAATCATCCTCCTTTGTAATAAGCAGCTCACTGTTAGTCTCCATTTATTTTAAAATAACTTATAATCTCCTCTCCTCCTTTTATTCATTCCAGGATATTTGAGAAGCACTCCTAAATCTAGGTTTATTTATTTGTGTCATTAGCATTAGCCTCCCTCTCACCTAGGATACTATGATAGTCTAAGGAACTTAAAGGTAGTATCTGTCTTATCTGTCTTTGATTCCCCCTCTGCCTAATACAGGGCCTGGCAAATGGGAGGCATTCAGGAAATTGATGTTAAATGAATGGTCAGCTACCTTTTGGGACAGGATTTGCTATTTCGATTTAAGAATACTACCTTCTTCTCTAGTACCCAGGCAACACTTGATGCCTCTGACCCCCATTTTTTGTCTCTAGGAAGCATTCTACTCTGCTGTGGGTTAAATGTGTCCCCCAAAAGTTCATGTGTTAGGAAGTTGACCCCCATTATTATCAATGTTAAGAGGGTGAGAAATCCTGTTATGGTAACTGAAAGGTGGGGTCTTTAAGAGATGATTAGATTGTGATGATTATGCCCTTGTGAATGGATTGATCCATTCATAAAGTAACGGTTGTGGTTCTAATGGCTTTAAAAGGAGAGCAAGTGAGGAGGTTAGCCCTCTCTTGCTCAGGCCTTTTGCCATGTGATACCTTGTGTCACTCTAGACATTGAAAAAGAGCCTCACCAGATGTGTTCCCTGGACTATGCACTTCCCAGCCTTGAAAACTGTAAGATAAATTTCATATTGTTGTGAATGACCCAGTTTCCAGTATTCTAAGTAACGGAAAACAGACTAACATATATTGAAATACAAAACTACAATTCAAGGACAAAATTTCTACCTTTACCCATTTTCTGATATCAGGGACACAGCCAATCAATAGTTCATATCTTGAAAAAAGAAGACTGAAATACCCTAGTGGATGAGTTACCCTTTCCTGGTTTAATTCTCAAGTATGCGCATCTTTTCAGATTCTCTGTGACTAGAATGTCTAAATTACGTAATTTCCCATGCTTATATCAAAAATGTACAGAAGGAGTGACACACAATGATTAAGAAGGGGTTTCTCTCATTTCCTTAGTGGGAAACTGTAAAAATAACACTTTGCTCTTACATAGAATAAATGTTATTTGCTTCAAAAATATACATTAAATTCAATTTAATAATTCTCTTTCAAAATGTTGTTTTCTTTCTGTTTAATGAGATAGCTGTAGGATTTGTATCGTTTGTTTGAGTTTTGCCAGTGTACTTTAAAGGAACTATTTTCTCAAATTTGAAGCCTTAAGAAAAATACAAATTTATTACTTAGTTCATCTGAGTGTGATATGTTCATGTGTATACCTTGATGGATTGAAGATTAATCCTTTCTAGAACAAATTTTAAGCATTGAGGAGTAAGGAAAATTTCAAGTGAAAGAGATATTCATTTGTATATTAAGGCAAATCAAGTTCTCCCTGCACTCAGCAAGTTCTCCAAGCCTCAAAGCCACTTTTATACTAAAATTTCTGTTTTGTGCTCTTAAAAAAAGAATGTGAGAGAATTTTCTATTCTTGCTACAAATTTGCTAACTAGCGTGAGGGCATGTGATGCCATTGCTTATCATGCTTGAGTCTGTAGGCTCTTTCCTAGGACACAGGTTTTCAGTTGTGGAATAGGAAAAATCTTATGCTCTGATTTACTTCTTTTTTTTTAAAAAAAAAAAAAGATGACGGGTAAGGGGATCTCAACCCTTGGCTCGGTGTTGTCAGCACCGCGCTCAACCAGTGAGCTAACTGGCCATCCCTATATAGGATCCAAACCCGTGGCCTTGGTGTTATCAGCACCGCACTCTGCCGAGTGAGCCACGGGTCAGCCCTGCTCTGATTTACTTCTAACATTGATTAGGGATTCAAATTCCAAGTTGTAATAATATTTGTAATGCTATGCTAAAGAGAGAAGGCAGTTCTTGGTGTAAAACAGGTTTGACTTTTTTTTTTTTTTAAATATTGATCATTTTGGGCCGGCCCGGTGGCACACTGGATAGTGCACCGCTTGGGAAGCGCGGCGCCGCTCCCGCCCGAGGGTTCGGATCCCGCATACAGACCGGTTCCCGCTCACTGGCTGAGCGAGGCACGGGAGCAACACCAAGGGTTGCAATCCCGTTGCCGGTCCCCGGTCCGGTACGGGGGCAACACTGAGGGTTGCGATCCGTTGCCGGACACGGAAAAAGACA